TTGCTTTCACTATGACAACATATGATGATGCCTTTTTTTTTTAAATTGGAAACTACACTGCAAGGCTTTCGTAAAAATCCACAGTTAACAAATGGAGCATAACCAGATGAGATGAAAAAACTTACTTATATGGTGAGAGTCTAAAATTATTTCAAAATAGTATACAAATCCTCTATATATGTTTCTTTTATAACAGGATTTTGTAGATGGCCATTCAGGTTCACTAAAAATAAATTCAAAGTATGTGTGTACAATTTCTGATGTTCTTGATGAAGACATATGGACAAAAGTGGATGATATGACAGATAATTATGGATCATTATGTCCAAAGAAAGAGATCTCAAGCAAAGAAGGCCAACAACCATGAAATTTTTACAAAAGAGCATTATACCACAGTTCTCATTTATCTGATATTTAAGACAAAGAATAAAATTACAGGAAAAGACAACAACAATATCAAGAAACCCAAAGGAGAGGTAAACTTAATAAAGATGAATTATCAGTTAAATATTTCACTCACTTTTAAAATCTGTATACAGATAATTGTTCTTGACTTACCTTTCAATATTTAATTCCCTGTTGTTTGATACCTGCTGAACAGACATGTTGATCATCTTCTCAATGTTGCACCTCAACTTAAAGTAGTCTTTATCTTTTGGGCATGCTGTAAAATTACCCTAAAAAGAAATACTGTTATGTCTTTAGTGGTCTTGTTCTTTTATTTCCATTTTTTTTATGATAAAACATGTTACTGACTTCAACTTGTATACCTAACGTACACTCATCCCAAACTATATACACATATGCATTATTAATCTCCTTCACCCCAATATGCTATATAAGAGTGGCAAATAGCTAACAGGAATATATATATTGACAATCATGATTAATCACACATGTTAGTGGGTTTTCTTGAAGAACCAATAGCAATTAGCTGCACAAGATATGTTAGTAACATGGCTGTGATACCATTACATGCTAAAGGGCTACAAGTGCTCTACCCTGAATGAATCATCATATGATTACCTCTATCCAACATAATTGGATAGTATGGTGATGATAAAAAAACTGTAGTTATTCCTCCTAACTGAGATAAATGGCCAGTGATATGTATCAGTTGATCATTTTAACTGAAGGAGTATCACTGATATCCCCTGATTTTTCCTTCTCACACTGGAGATACTTAACCAAATTACATGAAACTTCTTAAACTTTCTAAATATTAACTTAGTTTCTGATTTAGTATTTATAACATTTTTTAGGTTGTGATATCTCCAAATTTTATTATGCGACACTGTTTTGAAAAAACAAATAATTCCTTTCATCTTAGAATTACAGTTTGTTTTTTTATTATTGATCAGAAAGTTCCATTTTCCCTTATTTGTTATTCATCAATGTATTTCTTTCGATACTTTAGTTTGCCAACTGAAGCAGACATAACTTCTGGCTATAAGTCATAAAAAATATGCAAATACTGACAAATGTATTTGTTACTTACAACCCAACCTTTCAAAATTAGTGTTACCTTTACCTTTATCAACCAATATTCTTGGTTGAGATAAATTTGTAGCTACTAAACACAATTTAGTTTTTTCAATATAAATCAAATTCTTCCATTTACATGTTACTTGAATATGATAAATTTAAAAATAATATTCAATAAAAAAGTCACTCAAATAGTTTTCACTACTTTTCCTCACTAATCCTAACTAAGCTTACCAAATGTCTTGTTACAGAAGAAATTCCTAACACTTTCAAACATACATAAACATTATCAGGTACAAAACCAACGTGAAAAGAAGCTATGAAACGTTCTCAAATCTGTAATTTCTTTCACATCCATCCCTACAGGAGTTCCATTTAGCTAATATTTCAACAAACCATGATTTAATGCATAACCACTTTATTTACTTTATGGTGGCACAGATAGATTATTTTTTCTTTAGTCTTTTTTTTAAGCCATTGATTCAAGGTTGAACTCCATTGATAACTTTTCAGATCATACACTGTGAAATAATAAAACGGTGGCAATGATGTGATGTATCAATGAAACTACCAACAGAAAAATTTTAAAAACAAGAAATGACTATTAAATCATCAAGGGATGATAGTATCATAGCAAGTATAAACCTATACTTTGAGAAAAGCAAGAAAATTCTAAAAAAAAAGTTGATAAATTTGGTGTTTACAGATGATACTCTGTGGAGCTGAACGTAAATTAAAGTTAGAACTTTTTTCCAATTTTTCCTTGTGAAATATACTAAATGTTATATAATTTTAAAATATTTTTGAGTAAAAAAATTGTTAAAATAGAATTAGTTATATTATTAAATACATTTTGATATCTGTTTTATGATGCAGGTGTGCATAAGATACCAAAAAGTGCACACCAGTCATGAAAGGATTAAAAGCATACAGCCCCATGAAACAGAGGAACCACACTTCCTTAGAAATTTTCTACCTTACCCTAAAATCTTCTTCTTTAATATCCAATGATGCTTCAAATGCATAAACTTGTTCATTGTTCTTTACAGAAGTTCCCACAGTTAAACTTCTATCAGAACAAATGGAGTCACTGCGAATTGAAGATAGTTTGGGAACCCGGCGGAAGGCAGATGCAAAGCATTGTAATATCTTAACAACCTGTAAACAGGTCAGAAAAAGTTAAGTACATCATTAACAAAATAATAATAAATACTGTAAATTAAAAAAGTCAAATGTTTTCTATATGAAAAAATTAAAACTCACATAAAATTTGTTTTTGTACTAGTTTTAGTGCAATACATATACCTACAATGACTATTTCTCCCATTCTTCAAGGCCAACATTTTGCTTTTTTCAAGAAACAGGAAAAAGTTATAATGTTTAGCCAGCACATTTAAAATAAAGGTGAAATGTAATAATTTCTAAATAATTATTCTATGCAAGTGATAACACTTTTTTAAACACTTCTATGTGTCATTATGCAAGAATAGGTGTTTACTGAATAGTAGGACTCTGCTTGGTCAACAGTTCAAACTGTTTTCCTAAATCAAAAGTATTCTTTAATGAAATATAACAATGTTAAGAGCTGAAGAATGAAGCTGTTATAAACTGTGTAAACGAAGCAAAGTTTGACAATTAGATTTTTTTTTATCCAGCATTTAACTTAAGTATTTCACAACTGATAGTTCAATATTTGAGTAAAATTTCAAAAAATACTATTTATCTGACTCAAATACAGAACTATACATGCATTTGAAAGATAGAGGTACAAAATATCATGTTTGATGTTTTCATCAGTTAAAAATAATGACCTAACCTTTCTCAACATTATTACATTAACAAACTGTATGTTTTCACTTCTATAAAAACAATATTACTTAAAATACAAATCTTGCATGAACTAGCGGAAGAAATTTACCAGTTTAGAAGTATCACTGATTCTCAACTTCTAAACTAAATTAGAAATTTTACATATTCACTTTGTGAGTGAAATGGGTATTAAAATATTGATATTAAACTGTCTGATTAGAATTTCTAAAACTGGTTGAATTTAGTCTCTCTTTCTAAGTACTCATTAAAAATCAAGAAACTGTAATTTCATATTTGTTTGAATGTTTATATCAAAAACCTAAACATTTTTGTGTAATATGAACTAATAATGAACATCGTGAAATAAGGTATTGATGCTATTGTCAATTGGGATCTGAAGGACTGGCAAAAAGTTTGTAACTTAATCTAGGTTTATTAAGTATATATTACAAAAAGGATTTTTTGCAAAGAGAAGAACGATAAATTAGTGTATACAAAACTAATAACTTCATAGTTTAAGCAAAGTACATGGTCAACTTACACATTACATTACTAAGAACACTAAAATGCATTGTGAAAAAAGACAATCATAAATCTGGTAAAAAGTATAACTGGTGAAAGAGGTAAGATCACAGAAATCAAAAATAATTTTCTCAACTCACTGTTTCAGGGCTGTCACATTTAAAAATATGGCACTGAAAAATGGCAGTTTCAGCTGTATTTCCATGACTACATGTGAAAGCAAAACAGTATGCTTCGCTACTGTCTTGACGGCCACGTGCACAGAACAGTATCCGATGTATGGCAAAGCTAGACATTTCAGTATTGCTGTCAGGCTCATATAAACTGTCAAAATATTTAAATTGAGTTAAATACTTTTAAAATATGCTTATATAGCACAAAATTCAAAAATTTTAAGTAATGTACAACATGCTCATAAGACAAAATTCTAAATTTCTTTACATTTTTAGATTTGAATGTCAGTGGAAAAGTTACTGTTTAGTGAAACATTTATTACATTCACTTATATTATTTCACATTATACTTGCACACCAACGATACATAATCAATAGCTTTCACATGAACTTTCTGGTAGTTTTGAAGATGCATGATCTCAGATTGCTTTTACATTCTCTACTGAAGTGTGTCAAGAAAGTTTCTGTCTAATCACAGAAACAAAAGATTAAACGAGATATCCAACTGATTACATTCAAGCTTACAAGTCAAAAATAAAAAATGAATAACTGACTTCAGTGCTATTACATGTAGGGCAAGCAATTTCTTGTATCTGAATAAAACTCTTCTAAATATGAAATAGTGCTAAAATCTAGGAACAATATAAGGAGAACATACTGAACCTACATTTTATATGGTAACCTATTATAAAGTTAACAAATCACCATCATTCTTCTAAATAAATTTATAATTCTATTTATAATAGGTGATAATGGAGCTATGACAGTTCCATCTCAATGTGTCTAAAAATAAACAATAAATACCAACAATTAATGATGTCACATGATTCAAAATGAGTGGATTGTTTTGTAGCACCATTTTGTGATTATCAATTATCAGCGTTTAGTTTCAAAGTTTTTAATTTTATGTTGTTATTTTCTGTTTTAATACAACAAGCAAATCTTAGTCTGAATATCTGAACAACAAACTGTACAGTTTGTAACTCCACTAATTCTAACGATGGTTAGTTTTGTGGCAATAATTAAATATTAGATCTTCATAATTTCCAGTCTGTGATGTTGGATGTTAGTCTGAATATCTGAACAACAAACTGTACAGTTTATAAAACCGTTAATTCTAACAATGGTTAGTTTTGTGGCAATAATTAAATATTAGATCTGCATAATTTCCAGTCTGTGATGTTGTATGTTAGTCTGAATATCTGAACAACAAACTGTACAGTTTATAACACCGTAAATTCTAACAATGATTAGAATTGGGGCAATAATTAAATATTAGATCTGCATAGTTTCCAGTCTGTGATGTTGTACACAATTTTACAATATTAATTTCAGTGAAACTTCATCTGAAATTGGTTCATTCAAAGTAGTCTTGTATACAATTAAATTTATGCAGAGTTAAAAACAAAATCAAGAACTCATCCTTTCTTTACACAAAATTGGCTGTTTGGAGTAAAACTGAATTTACAGAACTTAGCAACTTGTGATGCTTTGAATTTCACTCAAAGCTACACGAGGGCTATTTGTGCTAGCCATCCCTAATTTAGCAGTGAAAGACTAGAGGGAAGGCAGCTAGTCATTACCACCCACTGCCAACTCTTTTACCCACAAATAGTAGGATATTAGTATATATAAAATCTTTTTAGTTGCATAGTGTCTACACATTTCTGATGGGAAATAATAATCTTTCACATCACAAGTTGGCATAGCCAGGTGGTTAGGGTGCTTGACTCACAATCTCAGGGTTGCAGGTTCGTGTGGGTGTTGTTATGTAATGGTAAATTGTTTTCATCTATAATAGCTGTCAAGTGCTTTTTAAGTGGAAATTATTTGTTAAGCATAGCAGGAACAATCATCATAGCGTATCAATTCCAACTCATTACCCTCTGAAAACAGAAGTTTAAGGTATGCATGTACCTATAAAAGTCATTACTTCCAAAGGGGGGGGGGGGGGGTTAAAGTGCTGGAGCAAAAGCCATATTCCTTATTTGAGCTGACAGTGGACAAAAAGGAGTTCACACACACTATAGATATACTGGCATGTAAAGTTTACACAGTAATACTGAGAATACAAAACCAGTTATTAATTATCTTAAATACTGGGGGAAAAATGTGGACAAATATGAATGCTTATGCATGAAAGGGTATAGTGTCATTGTATATATGTATTAACATGCTCATTCTTATATTACAAATAGTAGTTCAAAGCTACAAAAATTCATAATAACTATTGCTATGTAGATATCATATAAAATATATCTTATAAGGCTAAATGTTAGGGTTAAGCTTAATAATTAAGCCTAAAACAAATTAATACTAAAAACTTAACTCCATTTGAAATCTTATATATAAAGATGACCAGTGGAGCAAAGGCATGTTAAATTTCCTTGATAATTCCTGGCATTACATAAAATACAAATTACTATTTCATAACTTATCAATGCGTAACTTTTGTTATCTCTAAAAACTGCTAATGAACCCATTTTACAATATTCTGAATGCACGAGCTATTTTGTAATTTGCCAGCAATCTATATTATATTAATCTTGTCTTCATTACAACTTATAACTAATCCACCATTTGTCCATAGATTATCTAATACTTGGGTTGTTTTTTAACTGCTGGTACTGCAGTTTCAGAAGCACAGTTAACATGGAATTTATTAAGAAATGTGTCAGGAAAGGCAACTTTATGTCAATACATATTTATACTAGAATTCAATTAATTCTCTACTACATTTTTTTTAAATCATGTATCACTGAATTTATCAATAAAATATTTTGAGTACCCATGAAAGAAATGGTTCCCATGTTTAGTAACAAAAGTAAAATATAAAAGCAAACTTACATAACTGTTCCTTCTGAATGAAAGGGTACTGAAAGACTGATTTCAATTGCTTGATCAGATGATTGCTCATTTAAGATGGCCATATTTCTCTGGATTTCAACTTCACTTCGAGGTGCATTGATAGCAGCACATCCAAGGTACACTATTTTCTTGAATAAAGTCTGTTCCTCATCACAAAACTGTTCAGAAGTTGACCGAGATAAAGGTTCTAAAAAACAGTACATTTATGTAGTTCTAAGTTTTTCTTCTATATATAAATAAAACTTATCAGAAGTGAGAAACCACCATATATTAAAACTCAAAAGAAAAAAACAACACATCATTCCATACCTAACTAGTTAGTTATGATGCTGGAAAAGCTATCCTACTCAAGAAATACCCTTCTATATTGAAAGATGTCTTTAAAATTTTGATATTAAATTCCCAGGAAACCTACTGGGAAAAGTAAAATTCATATAATACATTTCCAAGTTCAAGGTTTACTACAAAACAAGTGACGATAACAAACAAATTCCACAAGTAAAAGAAACCTTAACATATAGCAGATTAAACAAGTAACTATACTTGAGGTTATACTTACCCACAACTACCATATCCTCCACTGCATAACTATTTGTAACTGCTTAGAACATTAGCAGCTACCTCTGGTGAGACAATGACCAAGAACTGGTATCAAAATATCTTTTTAAACAAATTATATAAATTACTGATGTTTGAATATCTGTACTTTGGGCTAAATAACTACCTAAATTGAATGAAATAATTGAGTAAATATGCTTCAACATTACTCTTGCTCACATTTCATTTCTACGTGTTTATTTTTTGATCCATTTAGCTATGTGACTTCTAAAATTTATAAAATAAAAACCTAATTCCAATGAAGCAAGATTTACAGACATAAGCTCTTTAGACGATTACTTTGTATGAAGAAAAAATTAAAAAGATAATAAAAAAATCTCTGTGTGAATGAAAAACAAGCTTTTTCTTTCAACTAGTAGAAACAAACCTCTAAAATGAAACCATGTTGCACAAGTGTGTATGCTTAATGATGGAGGGAAGTGTTATGAAAATACATATCTGTTTAGATACAGAAATTCATAACAGGCAGATCACAAAACGATGTGTTAAAACTGTGTATTCCATAAATACTTTATCATGTAATGGCACTCATAACATAGGAGTATTTAAGTGCTTAAAAATTTCCATATTTTTAGAAATGTAGACTAATTTGGTAATTTTAAATTTCATTAAGAGATTTAAAAAACACTCTTTCTGTATTGGTAAAAAAAACAGCAATTTTTATCTTTTTGAAGCCATAGAAATTTTATTTTAGTTATAGTAAGTACATTATGCTTTATTTGCAAAATGTGCAAATGGCCACCACCAGCAGAAACACTGATCTTATGATGTTACCACTTAGACCATTAACTGTTAGCTTATATTTTTGATTTTATTTGAGGAAGTTTGATACCATTCTTTCTAGTTAGAATGTGGATGAACCCCTTTTGTGAAAGTTTATATGTGTTAAAAAAGTTCATCTAAAGAAAGTTTTAAAAAATTCCTAGCCCAACAGCTTGTTTCTAAATCTTTAAAACTTTCCACTGAATGACTTTGGTCAAATGCATGGGAGTTTTGACTGCTCGAACCACTTTATTTAACTTACTATGATGAGAAAAGTCTAATTCTTGTTCTATCAACTCATATTTAAACTTTCTTTACAGCTGTGTTTCATTACAAAACCACTTGATATAACAACATAAAAGGTTGGCACCCAAGGCATGTACAAAATCTAAGCAGATAAAGACAAATAGAATGCTTTAAAATAAAGAAATGGATAACATATTCAAAGGGTTATAGTTCTTTAGTAAATTTAAAGATATTCATTGAGATGGGCAGAAACATTCTAAAAAGAAAACTCTACTGGAGTGTTGTTTACAGAGAAGACTCCTCAGATCTGCTCAGAAATAAAAAGTTTAACATTTTCATTTTCTTCATGAATTGCACTAAATAAATATTAAAATATAACAAAATATAAATTTTGTAATATTGTTAATTTAAAAATTGTTTTTAAATAGAGTTAAAAGTTATAATTTCCCTAAATGAAAATGTATTTCCAATAGGTACTTCCCTCCCCTCACAAGATTAGCTTTTCTCATTTCATGCTGCCCTCTATATGCAAACTTTTCAGACATATACAAGCCTTCATCCTCCCTCTCTTGGAATGCACAGTTCCAACATGTCTCTCATGTAAATCATCATGCGTCATCTCTCCACCAATAGGAACAGATCAGATGATGTGATGATGGGTACCACACCACATCTGAGCTAGGTATCTCTTCGACATGATCAGTAGGACCATACATGGCGGAACATTAATAGGAACACATTCTCGTAGGAAGAGATAGTTTAGCAATGTGATCTTAAACAGAAATCAGAATCACTCAATCCAATGATGAAAATGGGTAAGTGAGGATGTGTCCCATGGTGTAGAGTGGCTAGGGCACGATAGACCATACTCGGTAAGTCAACTGCATCCAAAACCTCACTCACTGGATACCGACATCCTAGCGACTGTAGGATAAGGATCATATTGTATCCACCTCAGGTCCAAGAGTCAAGAGTGAATCTAACATTCTACTCCAGGAACTCGCAGGGTAGCTTAATACCAGGGATCCGGGAATGTGTCATCTGAAGTCTGAGGGAAGTCCATCACATTCATTCAATCTCTGCAACCATAAAAACAGCCTGAAATAACCCCAGGTTGGTAACAACTTTATCACCTAACGAGGAAAAATCCAGGACAGAAGCAGAAACAGGCCACATAGACCTTCTGCAATCCACAATACAGAAGACAGGTTGAGAGGGGAAGATGGACAACCCGAAACCTGTGTGAGAACTTATGTGATTGGTTCACTCAATCTCCAAAACCTTACTCACTGGGTACCGACATCCACACAAGGGTAGGAGGAGGACACCCAATCAGAGGGGTGAACTGCATTTGGGCGTCTCAACTCCGGGAAATAGTTACTTAACCAGAGGATCTTGTAACTCCCTCTACACAAGCAGAACACCACCGCTTTACTCTGAATTGAATGGTTATAGCTATCTTTGTGGAACCCATCCATCAGGTTGCCTCCATGGTGAACCACCCCTGCGGCTTGGAAATGGTAAGTGATAAGGACTCCTGTACTCCACTGGAAGAAGGGGGGGTGACGAGTCCGAAGAGACTGCAACACCCAAGACAGTGCAATGGGTAATCACAAAACCCTATTTTGAAAAGCAGACCACACCCATTTATTCAATCTAGGCATAGCAGGGATGGGCAGAAATCCCCTTCTGCTTTACCCATGCCATCCATGGATGAGTCAGTCCAGAACAGGCATATTATGATGCAATTATCACAAAGAATTTACACTCGATAAGTCCTCATTAATGCTTTTGTTTCTTTTGGGGGCCCTTGCTTCAGCTTCATTTTGGATCCCACTCTGTGGTGAGTGGTGCCTGACCAGGTATTCTGTCATAGATGGCTATAACCATTCCCACTGTAAGCCATGTTGATTCTTACACATTTTCCATGTCTATGTACACTTACCCTTGAGATGGGGTGTTTCACAAGATTACTTCATGTCACATCCTAGCCGAAAATTGAAAGCACCCAGTACATGACATGCCATCAAATGAATGTGATGTGTGTGGGCTCAATAAAGAAGATCCACAGTAGGAAAACATAGGGATCTGGATCTGGTGCCACCTTAGTGCTTGATATAAGCCACCATGTTAGAACTGTCCGAATGGATCATAACAGGCCGGTGGTTGGAAAAAGAAAGAAAATAATCCAATGCCTGACGAACAACCTAGGAGTTCAAGAACATTAATGTGAAGAGAATATTCCTCCACAGACCAATGATCCAAAATCTCCCAGTGATCCACCCAGGCACCCAAGCCCTGAAGGGATGCATTCATGAACAGATGTAAATCTGGCCATGGTGGAGGAAATGGGACCCCAACTGATGTGTGAGCCCAGTTCTACCACCAATGTAGATCATCTACAAGGAATGAGGGCAGGGATATAGAAGTATCCATTGGATCCCGGGCAAGGTTCCATTGATCGTGAAGGACCCATTGAAGAAACCTCACATGGGCTCTACCCAGGGGGTATGGAAGGGGCTATGGAGGACCACATCCCCAAAAGTGATAGAACCTCGTAAGCTGTGAGTGAGGGAGTAGAGAGGGCTTTCCAAATGACCAATTCCAAGGAATGGAGCCACAGAGGAGAAGGTTGGGCCCGACTGAGATGGGTGTTAAAAACAACACCCAAATGAATAAGGTATTGGGTAGGACAATCCCACCAGAGCAGCTTCAGCCAGGAGCTGACAAGTGTGACAAGATGATTCCTGTTCAGAATGAACAAGAAGAAGCCAGTCATCCATATAAATATGGAAGCGCAACACCAAGGCATGAATATGTTGAGCAAAGGAGTGGACCACACGACAAATCACGTTTGGTGCTGAAGCTAGAATGAAATGTAAGGTGCAAAACTGGTACACAACCCCCCCCCCCCGATGGACAAACTGAAGGTATGGAAGGGAACGCTCTGCCACAGGGACAGGGGTCAGTGCCCCGCTTGTTCCCAACTGCAACAAAGTTAGTAAGGGTAGACTGTTGATGGGTCGAGGCCACCCATGACTCCAAAAACTCAGGAACCCTGTCAAACACATAACACCACAAAAATGACACCATGCAGAGGTCCCTCAGATAAGGAACATGGAGAAGGGTCCATGGTAAAACCATATCACAGCTCAAGAGATCCCAACAACAAATAAACCACGTTTGAAGCACTAGAGTCAAAGATGACAGACGAAGCTAATGTAGAAGTAAGAATGGAGAGGATTTCAGCAGAAAACCCCCTCAGGGTTCCTGTGAAGAGCCTCTGATAGAAGGTGAATGGTAGAAAGGTACCATAACAGGGTCATGAGAGTGAGAAGAAAGGGAGAAAATTGTGCCTGGATTAAATTGGACAGGGTAATCTGGGTTCGCTCCCAAAACAGGGAGAACCAACCGCAACAACTGTTGATCAAGAAAGGGAAAGTCTACCCGATGATAAGCAAGGTCGGACTGATCTGAAGTCTATGGGGGACGAGGCATACTAACACTCTCCCCAAGTTGAGAGACAAATCAGTCCATGTGAACCCTAATATCAGGGGATGGGGGAATACTAAATAGGGGCAGGAAGTTTTTTCATGTAACAGGGAAGATCTAAAGTCATAGAAAACAGGTGTAATAGACAAAACACCACATACCTGAGAGATAAAGTGTGAAAAGGTTGGTGATAGACGAGCTGAATCATCAGGTAGTGAACAGGAAGATGCAGCAAACTCCAGGGGGGGCAAATGATCAAAATCGTCCTGAGTCTAATATGGTTCAATAGGCTCAGGAGGAAGTGGAGCAGACATAGGTGAGGGAGGTTGGCTCATATACTGCTCAATCTCCAAGTGAATAAGCACCAATATATCTCCCAATGGGTCACCCACACCTGTGGCTGAAAATACAGCATCAGACACTGGCGAAGTACTCGAAGTGGTGACTGTAAGTTCAGAATTCATAAGCAGGAAACATGAGGAAGTAATGCTATATGAAAAATATTAACTCCAGAACTGTGAAGTGCAGTAAATAAAGTTAAGAAAATATAAAAATGAAAAAATAATCCATTTCAAGGCAACTGAACAATGTAAAAAGAACGTCTGGAACTCAACAGTTGCCAAATGAGAAATGATAGTTCGTTGGGGCACTTAGAGACAGTAACATGCATCACGTGATAGTACTTCTCTCCTATTGGTGGAGAGGTGATGCATGATGATTTGCATGAGAGACGTGTTGGACTGTGGATTCCAACAGAGGGCCGATAAAGGCTTGTGGCATGCATTTCTGAAAAAGATCACATGTAGAAGGCAGCACAAAATAAGAAAAGCTAATCTTGTGAGTGGAGGGAGAGTACCTAATCGGAATTATCATTTTTACTTGACATTTGACTCAAAAAATTAAAAGTGACAAAAACATTCATTTAATGAAAGTGATGGTGAACAAATATGAAAAGTCATAAGAAAACCAGTAACATTGTTCAAGAGGAAGTCAAATATTTATATTTGTAAAATTCCATTTTTGTAGCAGATGATTTATTCTATGACATTTGAATTATGGACCAGTGATTATTAAAAAATAGTCTAATCCAGATAAGTTTTAATGAAATTGTAAAATCTCAATTCTAATAAAATTTCAACGATATATACACCCACAGTATCAATACATGGATTGTTGAAATATTCCATTTACATTTCTCTACTGGGTAAGTTCAAGATCAGTTTATACACCTGCAGAGTGCAAAGCACCATCAGGATCAATTGCTAGAATAGCATTTTCATCCTGCGTGTTCTTCTCTAGTCCCAGTGGTGACTGTTCTGATTCATCATCTATAATTGGATCACTACATGAAGTAATAGTATCATTTTCTTGATCTACATCCATACCAGCCATTTGTGTTCTATCAACCTGTCTGTTGTCATTATCACATGAATAATCCAAAGAGTCTTCACCCTGAAAGGTATAAACAAAGCAAAATGTTTTTAAACAGTATATATGTGTAGTGTGTCCTATCACATCTGTGTAACTTTTCTTTAAAACAAAAAGTCTTACTCTTAAGATAAAAAAACAAAACAATTTACATGTTTAAACAAAGGTTACAAATGCTTAACATGTTGTCAGAAATGTTCTATAAGCTCATGTGAAATATAATGATAAGACAGGCAACAGAAGTATAAAGTGGCTTTAACAAATGCCAACCAGAATGCTAAACCTGCATTATTTGTTTTACATCCATCAAATGAGCAAGCCAATCATTTTGATGTGGATCCAAAAAATGAGTAAATTTATAAAGACTTTACCAAGTTAATTTGAGTGACAGGTGATTTTACTGATAACTTTGTTTGTTTGTTTGTTTTAAAGCTAAGCCACATTGGACTATCTGGTGTGTACACTACAGAGAATTGAATTCCAGAGTTTAGCTTCGTAAGTCTGTAAACTTAACAATATTCTATTGGGGGGCTTACTGATAAAGATATGTTTTTTGTCTTAACAGTTTCCATATTTAATTTGCACAACGTGTGTAGCCTCTTAAATGAATGTTAATAGTTTTTTGGTAAAACTTTGTATTTTCTCTACCATAACATTAAATGCAGTGAAATAATCAATATATAATGACAACAAAATATTGAGAAACATAAAATAAAACTATTAATACATTTTTTTTTCTCTAGAATAACTGCAGATTATAAAAGATAAATACTTATTTATCCTAACAACTTCAGCTTTCTACCTTTTCATATCTAGTTGCTTTTGATTTTATTACTTACAATGCTATTTAGACCTTACATGAGCATAGACAGGCAATAAACACAGAAAAAGAACTTAGTGTGAACAACCAATCAAGTTACAATCACATGATGCAGTTAGCTGAAGCTCATCTCAAGAAATTAATTTTCTTTGCATTTACTTTTTGTTATCTAACCTAATTAGTTTCTAAATATTACATTTTACTAACTTTTTTTGGAAATATGTAACAATAAAGAAAAAAACACACTCAAAAACATGAAATTTTGGCCTTAAATTAGAGTTGAAGCATATTTCAGTAATTTGTTCTTCAGAGCATACATTCTTAATACTAGTTCTTACATATTTTGTTGGTTCTTCCTGAAATCATTTAATGTTCCTTTAAAATATGCATTTTAAACCCTAAAAAAACAGAATAGAATGTCCCAAAATTACTTTAATTTAATTTGCTTTCTTACCAACTTATAAGTTAGTTTACAAAAATTACATTAGCTACTTAGAGCAGAAAAACACAACTTAAAAACATGAAACTGAAGATAAATATCTACTTAAGGGTGCCAAAATGAAAGAATAGTATAAAGAATACTGTAAAGAAAAAACTATTTTATATTAGTTATAAATAATCCAGAGAATTACAGATTTTTTTTTTGAAAGACAGAATGAAGTGAAAGGGGCATACCACACAGATTTTATATTTCATTAAAGCAAGAAGATTGGAGTTCCACAGTTAACATTTTCCTAATCTGAAAATGTTACCTTTTTGCACAGTCTAACTGTCTTTCTCATGTGTCTGCCTAAGATATTTGCATGCCACTAGCCTTGAAGCAAGTCCAACTCAATTTCATGTGTATTAATTGTGAGATGCACTGGTGCATGATGATGTCATCATGTAACAAAAGCCTTCAACCAATAGGAGGGTGACACAACTTCTACTTGCAATAACTTTCCCTATGCACTTGCACTCATAGTAATTCATTCTTTAACAAAGCAAGATAAAAATATGCACCACAAGTGGGAAGGAAATGTGCCAGAGGCAGGTATCTACCAGAAATACATTTTCAGATAAAGAAAATGTTAATTTCCAAGACAATAAGTCACTTCCACAAACAGTTTAGCTAGAATCTTGTGTTAAATTGGTAGAGGAGCCAGTGCAAAGTATTACCTAGATCAGCTCCTTTCAGCAAGCACCTGAAGGAAATCCTACTGAGTGTAACAGCCAATGGCAGGGGCTTCATAAGGGCACACTCGTGGAAGACTGCATCTCATCTCAACCAGGGTATACTCTTCACCCAGAATGTAAAGGAGGAAGAAACAAATGACTCCGATGTGTCACATGGACAGGCAGAATGTGAACATGACCACCTGAGCACTTGCACACAAATGTTCCACAAGTCATATGTGTAGTGTAGTTGGGGTATGTTCAGACAATACCTTATGTACTCACCTCAACTCAATTGAACAGACTCCAGATGAGAGAGGAGGGCACTTAAGTTATGCAGTATGGTTTGGTATAGTGTGTGCTCACCTCAGCTCTACTGAACAGACTCCAGGTGAGGGAGGAGGGCACTTCAGTTATGCAGTATGGTTTGGTATAGTGTGTGCTCACCTCAGCTCTACTGAACAGACTCCAGGTGAGGGAGGAGGGCACTTCAGTTATGCAGTATGGTTTGGTATAGTGTGTGCTCACCTCAGCTCTACTGAACAGACTCTAGGTGAGGGAGGAGGGCACTTCAGTTATGCAGTATGGTTTGGTATAGTGTGTGCTCACCTCATCTCTACTGAACAGACTCCAGGTGAGGGAGGAAGGCACTTAAGTTATGCAGTATGGTTTGGTATAGAGTGTGCTCACCTTAGCTCTACTGTACAGACCTTGGCTGCAGGAGGAGGGGTCATTAATTATGTATTATGGTTTCATAAAATGTGCACTCACTTCAATCAACTAAACTGAACAGACTCTAGCTGCAAAAGGAGGGCACCACTCCAGCTGCTAGGAACTGGCAAGTGAAAAGAGTCTACAATACTTTACTCAAAGAAGGAAGAGGAGAATTTAAATTTGGGAGACCCAGAAACATACTTGGATCCCCACTGGACCTCCAGCCAGAAAGGTATTTTACTGGAGACAGTATAATGGGTGACTGCAAGATGTCATTTTTAAAAGCCAGCACACATAAGGAAATAAATTGGGCTGAACACTCCCCTCATGCTGGCTTTTTCCATGATATTTCATAGAATAAGTATTGTCTGGATCAGACAACTGAGTAAATATGTATACTACAAGGATACCTCAAATAGTCTTGAGAAACATCCCATCTTGCAGAGGGCACTGGCAGAGCCAAGAGGGATGGTATGAGCGCTTTTCATTATACTGACTTGATGCAGGTTTGGGGTAAGTATATTCTGGAAGGCAACATCAGCCACTTTAAAGGATCATATAAAATTAAAGAGTTCTGAAAAAATAATTGTATGTATTCATCTCAAAGATGATGGGGTGATTGAGGAAAAGTGACCAGTGGAAGCCAAATCCATCAGGTGACAAAACAGCTAGATGGTGTAGATAAGGATAGATTAATGTGTTAAGACAACATGCCTGCCTGAAGGAACTCATTCTAGGGCCAGCAGAGATGAGGTGCAAAAGAATGAGAAGGTGATGAATCAAATGCAAAGGAATGTGAATTTTCCTGCAAACATACCAACCAGAGGAGTCAATTGATGCATCCAATAACACTAAGAGAGAGGTCCATGGAAGAAGATGCATTCCAGGGTAGGGATAGATGGTGGTGGGAAACCCACATGAAATAGGACACCGGAACCAATTTGGGTCTGAATGATCAATTAGGTGAGAGACAGAAGGAAGGAAGGAAGGTAGGAGAGAAAGTAAAGTTAACCTCTCGAGTGGTTGAAGTCACAGGAAGGAAAAAAATCGGATTTGGAAGAGAAGTACATAAGTGCATTGGAAGACAGTATCACAGCAATCACAGGTGCGAAGGAAGAAATAAATCTGGAGAAAAAGATAGTACAAGTAAAAGAAGCCAACGTCTCAAACTGGGAATGCATGAGAGCATACAAATCTACACAAGATCTCAGTGAGGCATAGGGATTGGGTGAAGAGGTTGGAGAAAAATGAAAAAGTGTAACAGAATGGGTGAAATGCCAGGAACAAAGCTGCCTGATGACCTGCAAAGGCAGAAAGATGGTTCACAGTAGGATGGCCAGGAGTAAAGGAGTAGCAGATGAATTAAAGACTCATCACTTTTGTTGATTAACACAGTTGAAGTGGGTATAAAACTGCATAGAAAATTATGCATAGTGGTTGTTGAAAGAGATAAAAAGAAGTATGATGTAGGTTGTCTTCAGTGGTTTGACCTACAGTTCAAGTGGGGACAAGAACGTGACAGGAAGAAGGCCACATGATTGGAGAGTCTGGCTCAATGGGTGTTTAATTATACAAATCCCGCACCTGAAGATGAAAGGAAGATATTCCACAATAAAAATGGGACACATGAGGTGAAGCAAGAGAGAGAGAGGAGAAATTGGATAGAAGGAGGAGGATGAAATATAAGCATAGAGAAAAGGAAATCGAAGCTGAGCTGGGCAAAGAGGTACCAACCATAGGATCCGACAAAGAGTGTCGTTTATCAAGTCGAGGAAACCTGAGGAAGGAGAGAAATATGGAATAAGGCATAAAGGTAGAGGAAAGCCCAGGTCTGGTTGAAAACATCAACAGCCAGAGTTTAAGGATGACAAATAGGGGATCAGAAGAAAGGAAGTCAGGAATTGAGAAGGGTTGCAAAGGTATCCTTGAGGGGTGTGCCCAAACCAAGAGAAAACCTGGAGATGTAGAAACCACTCCATTAGTAGAATGTGGACTAGCTGAGAGAGATTGCCCATCCCCAAGTTTGAAGCTCACAGCAAATGACAGGCAATAAAACATACCCAAGGTGAATGGACTCAGAAGTGTACATCCAATGCTTGAAAGCAAAGGGTTTTAGCCAGAGTTCTCTAAAGTGAAAGAACCTCTCAAACAGGAAGAGACTAAGAAACACAAAACCTGGAGACAAGTTACATCATAGCTCGCAGGCAAAGAGGAGAAGGCTAAATTGAGTGGATGTGAGAAAGGAGTTAGCTCCCAGGAAAACCCCTCTCCCCCCCCAACCAAGCTGCTTCCTGTAAGAACAAAGGGAGAAGAGGAAACCATCCAAGAATGGAATAACAGAAGTCAATCATCCAAGAAAACGAACACCAGCCCTGGGCAATAAACATAGTGAGCAAAAAAGGGGTCAATGCTGAATGAAAAGGAAGAACAAGAAATGGGGAGACATGAAAGAGGTGAATGGAACATAGAAAACATATCAAGTACAGGCCAAGAGTGATTCATAAGATGTACAACACAGCAATCATGGCCAACTGCAGACTCGGGTCAAAGGGAAGAAAAAAGGAAATTGGGAGAGAAGAAAGAGACTAAAGTGAAGAAATGAAAAATGACTGTAAGCAAAAAATGAGACCAACAGCAGGAGAAGAGATGGGTACCTACAGAATTGTATGTGTCTTAAAGTCACTGACAAGAATAGTGATGAACTAGACTTCTGGTAGAGGGAGGACAAGAAAATGAGGAAGGCCTGAAATGGGAAAGTTAGGGGTAAACTATTTATATGAGGAACACGAGTAAAGTGCAAGGTCAAGATAGAAGAAAATAATGGAAACAGAAGCCATATAATATCAATCCAGGTCCCCAGAAAGAAAGGAACACCACTGAAGACATCAGGGCCAAGAAAAGGATCCCAACAAATATCATGTACACAACAAGGAAGAGGGAGTAAAGAAGAATGTAATCCAACCAATCCCAAAAGGAGGGGAACAAAGCGAGGTGGGTCAGAGCAGAAATAGAACAGGCTGGCAAAAAGAAGGAAACAAATGTCTATAGAGAACCCATCTGAAGAAAACTGAAGTGTCTCAGATAGGTGGAGTTAGGAAAGGGACTAGAAGAGGGTAGTGAGAAAAAGACAAAAACATGAAAATGAAGAACCAAAAAGTGAAATAGAAGGTTAGGAGCCCAATGCCCAAGCTGACCAAACAGATACCAAGGACATAGAATTGAGAAAAGGAAATGAAGAAAATCTACAAGACAGAACAAAAAGATTCATAAGTGCAGGGGGGGGGGGGCAAGGCATTTGGATGCAAATCCTAATAACAAGCATGGAAAAAACAAGGTAAACACCAAGAATTGTGGATCGTGGAGTAAAAAATGAAAAACAATAAAGAACACAAGTAAATTATATGGAACAGAAAAACCCTGAGAATAAAATCCAGAAATAGATCAAAGGTTAAGGTTGTTTCTCAAATTATATGGTACTACCCAAAGTCAATCAGGTTAAAGTGATAGTCCAGTAAATCATTTCCAACTGAGAAGAAAGAAACTTGCCCAATGAGAAAGGAGTAGGAGGTCCAGCAAGCATTTGGTTATCCATAACAAATAGAACAATGGCTGCAATGACCCTGACAGTTGACAAGCCTCCACAAGTCATAATATAAATATTCCTTTCTGTGAGAAACATCACTCACACAGGACTAAGTAAAAATCAGTCACACTTGAGAATGAACTCATAATGAAAATTAAAGCTTTTAAAACAAAAGCTAAAGAAGATAAAAAATCAGTATCAATAAATTGAACTAAGATGACAAATGAAAACAAATCTGTTCCATACAATGACGAGAAGAAGAATTAAGTTACCATGAATGCAAGTACATAAGTGGAGTTGATGCTTGTGGAGGTTGCGTCACTCTCCTACTGGTGGAGGGCTTTTGTCGCATGATGATGCCATCATGCACCAGTGCAGTTCACATTAATACATGTGAAATTAGGTGGAAGATACCTCAAGGCTAGTGGTATGCAAATCTCTTAGGCAGATTCAGGAAGAAAATAGATAAGCTGTGTGAAGAAGTGAATTATCTTGGAAATGATATTCTAGATTGACAATGTGTGTTTCTGATTAGTTGGACTCAGAAATTCATATAAAGGTAGAAAGAAAACCTGAAATGGTTCTTCAAGAGTGCAAACATTTCATGTGACACATATAGTGAAGATTATGAATATGTTTAAATATTTGCATTTATAAAATATAATTTTATAAAAAGGTTGTAATATTCACTATTTGACCCTCCATATGCATATGTATAAATATGGATTGCATGGAAATGAAAAAATAAAACTCAAAATATTTTATGAGAAAAAGCTGATGATAGAAACAATGAACAACTCATTACAAAACTTTTCAACTTATATCTTTTGAGAATAGCTGAAGACAGTTGAAGAATAAAGAACGATAATGGCTTCTCCCATTTTCCACTGCTCTTACTCAGCTGTGTTCTCTGCATTTTATGGAATTCTTCCTCCAGTTTTGTTTCCATTTTTCATGATCCTTCCAGCACTTGCACAACACTTTGGATCAGGATTTGTGATTCATTTAACAAAATGATTCTAACCTTACCTTATATATATATATATATATATATATATATATAGTAATGAAAATATGATTCCTAAAGAACATGCTTCTTTCATGACAATAATAATGCATTAGTGTAAGAAATTAATATTTGCAGTGATAGTTTACAGGCAATTTTACTAACTGGTCTGCTTGACGTGTATAGTGTTGCAAAGCTAAGCCTAACCATCATCACAATTGTGGTAATTAAGGTATATATACACACAAATATATTTCTTGTTAATAAAACCTTTTGGTGAAAATAACAAATATTGCTGGATCATGTAATTCACAATGTTAATGTGTTTCACAGTTAATGTTGTTAATTCATCAGGTCCTAAAGTGAGCTTCCTTCAACTACTGACTTAAATCCCTTTATTATAACTCGTCTACATCCATTAAAACTCGAGTGTTGAGCATTCTTTATAACATGCATGATTTATTACATGTAGCGACTTTTAACTCAACCGTACATTACTGTTTTTTGTCCACTTATTTGAGTTACACATTTTAACAAGTATATTACATTTAAAATCTTTGAGTGTTGAAGTTTCCTAAGTTGTTGCAAAGAACTTATAACAATCACAACATTTGGCATAAACCAATCAGCGCATGTGGGTTTCTAAATTTTCAAATGTCATTAATTTATTGATCATTCTTTTATGGCAATTTTTTTAAATAAAAAGTTTGTAATTCTTACAGTTGGCCAAGATTGATTTGTTATATTACTTTGTATGTGTTTCGAGTTAAAATCTATATTCTAATGCTTTTTGTTTTTATATACACAATAAAAAACAAAAAAGACATGTTTTAAAATTTACTACCTATCTGAAATGTGAAATTGGTCAGTACTGGAAAGTTGGAAAATAAACACTTTCTTCATTGTTGTACAGAATTCAAATTTCACGTATGGTTAATATCACACTTTTCAAGGCTAAAAAAAATGTTTTAGAACAATGTTTCCTATATGTCCCCATTGCAATGAAAGAACTAATATCAAACTGAATACACACATACTACAAACCTGAAAAGTCATAACAAAAAGAGTATAGACAGCAATGCAACATAATAATTCATTGCACTGACTCCCAAATATATACTTGCAATGTACAAGCATAAAGAAAGATACTACTAACAATGCTACATGGTACAATAAATTGTATAGAAATGGAGAAAAAAAAATCCTAAATTCAGATGTTTCAACTGTAACCAATTAAATTAAATTTGCACAACAACTCCCAAGAATAGCATATTGGAAATGCTTTTCTAGAGGAAGCACAAATCTTTAAAAATTTATCTTTACAGTCTAATGGTTACATCTGATGTTTCATGCAACACTGTTGGGGATTTTATCAAAGCACATAATTCATGTTAGTCACATGTGAAAGGCTTTAGCTTGCTGGTGGTAAATGTGATGGAGACAGAAGATTTTCTACACAAACGGCATCAAAATTAATCTGTGTTTCTACATATATTATGGTTGGTTGGATAACTTTTTGAGATTTATAATAACTCAGTTGAAATCTGATCTTAACACAAGATAAAGTCATTGTTGTGGGAAGTGACTCATTGAAAACTTAACTAGCTTGAAACAACTGATTGTTTTACTTAAAACCTGGAGAACACGGTAATGACTTAAACTTTACATATGACACCGGGCTTCCTAATACTGGTATTACTGTGAAATCTGCATATTGACATCATTTCATGCAAGCAAATTTAACTAATCACAGAAGATCAACTATTAGACGTGTGTGCAAACATGCAGGTGATACTTGATCACTTACCAGTTTATGTTACCACATTAAGAATACTGAAAGCTTATGAAATCAAATTAAAGTAATTCTAAACTAACTTAAGATACTAACAATGATACTATTCTAGGTGTACCATTTCAAAAAGCATTACATGTAAATACTGAAATAGCTGCCAGTCTCTACTAAAAAACTTGAAAATAAGAACACAACATTTTTATAGGATTGAACATGTTAGCAGAAGGAACCTTGAATTTTACACTTGTAGTTAACAATGGAAACTTGTAATGCTTGTATTTGAGAAGTTTGTCATGATGATGAAATTGGATGACTTTGCATGAAGCCACTTGTCATTTGTCAACAATTGTTATATATCTCTTCTAAAGCTTTGTAACCAATTTTAATCAAAAACTATAGTACATGAGAAACGCTTTTGAGAAAGTGTCATTTTTACAGTTTAGCAATTCTACTGAAAGTTACCTGTTTAATGTTGTTAGTTGTTAAAATATAAGTAGAAACATCTGCTACATTAGTATATTTAGCATCCTGTAAAGTTTCCTTTTCAGAGTCCACAATATTTGTTTGCTGTAACTCAGGCTCACTGGTGCTTACAATTTCATATTCGTCACTAGTGGCTATGGAATCGGAGCTTTGACTACTTTTGTCTTCCATGGTTGGCCGTAAAGCCAAGGCTTCCATCACATCTACAAATCCCCAAGTGTCGGAAACATACTAGCGAAAAATCCTGCAACAACAAGAGCAAAAATACACAAATAACTTCAGGAGATTTACCAAAATATCTAATTTCACGTAAACTACATAAAAAACAACACAGAGCACCACAATGAAATTTCCAAATTTTTTAACCTAATTTACACAAGATTGAAGCAATCTTCTGACTAAAAATGTATCTATTTCCTCTTAAAAGTACATCTACGATGTTTACTATACACATGCATCTAAAATATTTTTACTGCAGATTTGTCTGCAAATTTACAGTCAGCCAGAGTGAAAGATGATTTCCATGCTAATAATAAAAATATTTGCATAACCTCTAAAACCTCCTCAGTAAATATCAATTTTTTTAGTAATACTTTTTATTTAATCTCTTATTTGCTCTACTCTAACACTAAATTGTAGCAAAAGTTGAAAAACATGAAATAAAATAAAAAATACCATTTCTTTTCCTAGAATGACTGCAGACTGTAAAAGACAATTACAATCATTCTTCTGAAGAACTTAAGGCCTCTTAACTTTTCACAACTGCTTTAATTTTATTGTTTTGTTGCTCTTTGTACAATGTCCAACCTACCATAACAACCAATAAATCACCCAGCAGGAGTGTGGAGAGTTTAGGGTGAATGAACTTTGTGATTACATCACAAAATGTCTCACTATATACATTCCCCATGCCTTCCTTGGTAAGTAATCATAAAAAATTTATTTTCTTTTAAGCTTGCTTGTATAGCCTAATAGTTTTTAAGTTTTATGTTTTAGTTTAATTTTGTTAAAATATATATAACAAAAACAACGAAGAAACTTGGCACTTACCTTAGCCTTAGGCCAGTTTGCATTTGGGTAATTGCTTTTGTAAGCCTTCTTTTTACTATGTTTTGTCCAAAAATATTTCACATATGCATTTTAAAACATAAAACTTAATCAAGCACTATAATCAGGCAAACAACTAATTTATTCTGACTTTCTGACTAAGCTATAAATAGATTAAAAAATATCATTCATTTTTGGAGCAACAAGTTCGGTTTACACATCAAGAGCTACTTGTGATACAGGGAGATAAAGAATCAGAATTCATATAAATGTTTCCTTTTGAAATTAACCCTATGTGCATGGGTGTGGGTCAAAGTGTAGATGCCACAACTTTTACAGCTACATTAGAAACTTAAACTTAATTATCAATATAGGACAATAAATTTGACATCTTACTGTATGAAGACCAAAGTCAGTGCTCTGGTAGGTATAGGTTTTCATAAGTCACTTAAAAAGTCAGATGAATTACAGTAGTTTTGGGACATTCTGTTTTACAGTTTGAATTACTGTTTGTGTTATAAAATGTTTATCATTTTTTGGTATACCAACTTAGTGAGAAAACTTTAGGATCCCTGAAGACCAGCTTAAGACATCTAAATCTTGAAGCACTAAATTTACTTTTATGTAAATTTTTTTATTTATTGATATACATATGAATAACAAAAGTAACTGAAACACAAATATTAAAAACTTATAAGATAAAAAAAAACTTAGATAAAAATTAAAATAAATAAATTTACTGACCTTGAAAAGTGAATGATGAGGATGATGAATATTTATATGTCAAATGATATAACCTGAAATTTTGTTTATCCTAAATTTTCAGCACTCCCACTAGGTGATTTATTGCTATTCGAGGTACTTAGACTTACAAAGAGTAATAAAATAACAAAATTATATGAAAATAGAAGAAATCTGTTAAGAGCTTGAGGCTGTTTAGGATAAATAATTGTAATTTTCTGTAACAACCTGCAGTCATTCTAGAAAGAAATACTGGTAATTTAGATTTGTTTTGGTTTCTGCAATGGTTAAAAGATTGGTCAAATGTACTGAGTCCTTTTAGTGTTAGAGTAGAAAAATAACAAATAAAATATAAAGGTTTTATCAAACAAAAAAACTGTTGATATTCATTCAAGAAGTACTAAGGGTTATGTAAATGTAATATGAAAATCAACTTGCACCTCAGACCAGTCCAAGTCCAACTAACTTAAGTAAATTTAAATAAATTTTCAATACAAATACTTTATTAAAAATTTGATCTTTATGTACAACATACAAGTAATATTTGATGAAAGCTTAGCAAATTTCAAGAAGATACAGCAAGAAATGATGAATTATAGTAAACATTAATTCTACAATAGGGGATCGGTCCAATGGACAAACTCTGTGCATGTAAGATTAAGTAAAACTTAGATAATATAAAAATTTGAATTATATGTTTTAATGCCAAATTTATTGATATACATTGCTAATAAAGCAGATTAATTAAATTTTGAATTTACTTTGTACAAATGTCATGACATATGCACTTTAACCCACCTGTATCCAGACTATTATTCAATATAATGAACTATCTATGAGAAGTAATTACATTGATTAGTGTCACATCAACTAACTGATTAATCAAACTTACAATTAAATAAAATGTCATGAAAATAATCAACTAATCAAAGTTGTGGTTTCTGATTATTACTTATATTATTCCAACTATCAAAATAATGCTATTATATTTGTTTAAGCACAAAGCTACATAATGGACTATCTGTGTTCTGCCCAATTTTAACTCTACAAGCTTTGTTTTCTTAAAATTTTTCAACTTTCCTAATTTGCAGTTGGGGGGGGGGGCTCATAATTCAAGAGTCTTGGGTACAGATCCCATTACCACCAAACTTGCTTTAACAAATACCACTAATTGCCCAGCTCTAATCATAATAGTGTTACCATAAGTTTGCTCAATAGTTAAATATACGTAATAAACGTAACAATAAATAAGCAGCAAAAACAGAATAGCATCAAATAAATACAGATCCTCAACTATAACAAAGTGAAACAGAAAGTGTTATTATCAATCACTTTTTAACATTGTTGATTAATTAAACATATGCCTTGGATAAAGGTGTTAGCTAAATATTATTAAATAATAATAATAAAAATAATCAGAGTAAACAAAACAGAACAGAGTAACAGTAACACTTCAGTTAGAAAATACATTTCTCTTACATTATGTACACTAGGATTAACACATTTAATTAAAGAAATGCAGCCACTAAATGTACTCCCATAACGGTCTGCTCCAATGCATGAAATGATCTTCTATGTTCTGGTGGTATATGTTCATATCTTTTTTTTAATACAACAACTTTTGTTATGTAATACCTGTTATACAAATAAAAGATCAACTTTTCCCTGTAATGACATTATTTATGATTATAATTCAAACAATGTCAAAAGCATTTTTTCAACAAGAGAAAACAATAATCTAACACTGCTCGAGTGCAGCATGATAAACCTTTGAATGTTTAGGGCTATCTTCAAATTCCTGGCTAGCCAATGAACCTTCAAATAGAACCCTCTAAACCACCAATGCCAATCCCTCAGAATAATTCTGTTCATGCAATGTAGCAATGAACAGTCAAAATATGAAATACAAAAATGTTCTTAATGAGAATCTGGAGTCAGGGTAGGTAATTCAACTGAAGAAAAACAGCAGCTACCCTCTCCTGTAGCCAGAGTGTTGGGTGGGAATGCCTTATCATAAGTACAGAGCCTTCCTAAAATAGATAAAAAGTATGAGAAACATTAATGACATAAATCATCTCTGACTTTTAGTTAGCAACAGAAGGAAATATAGCTACAGGGAAGGATGATAGAGTGAAGAAGTCACTAAAAGTTCAAAATAAGGAGATGGAAAACATCTTAAGACAAGAATCAATTCCTATGAGGATATTGTCTAATTACACATGGATATAGTAAACACAAAATTCAAAAACATCCTGAAAGAGAAAGGGTTGAGAAAAAATAATTTAAATTGACTGGTATGACAGGAGACTTAGAAGATTATAAAAGATCAAGAAAGTAGGTGATATTAGAAATTAAGACATCAAAAAGGATGTACGAGAAAAAGTTGTCTGAAAATGTAAAAATTAACTGTAAGGATTTCTTTAAATACATTAAGGGGAACAAAATGTTGGGATAGGATCAATGGGGGATGATAAAGGAAAGCTAGTATCTGATGATTATGAGAGGGCTGGGTTATTAAATTTTACTTTTTCTTCAGTTTTTACTAATGAAGATTTAAGCAGTATTCCACATCTTGATCAGTTGATAAATGGAAACAAGATCAAACAAGATGATTGCATTAATTCTGAGGTGGTTAAGAAAAAATTGGGAAGTTTAAAAAATGATAAGGCTCCTGGGCCATATAATATATCCACAAGGGTTTTGAAGGAGGTTAAAGATTGAGTATGTGAGCCACTTGCTTCTATTTTTTTATCAGTCCTTGAATAGTGGGCAGCTACCAGAGGATTGGA